TATTGATGGCTAGCTGACCTCTAGCTTGTTGTCTAGATACTTACCTTCTAGATTCTAATCAGTCCAGATGTCTCATGCAGAAAAATTAAATCCAATTGCAGGATCTCTAGCCACTGGCTTTTTAAAAATATAGTATCAAGCTATGGCTCTTGGAGCCTGCAAGTAGACAATACCTGCATGTCTATCATTTAAAGCAGCTTGATGCAGGATAGCAATATCTCTGTGCTGTCAATAACACAAGCTCTCCTATCGAGTTGATGGTAGTGGCTTTTGGTGGCAACTTAATGAAGCATGTAGATATGTAGCATATCTAGTCATTATAGCTTGGCCTGCGCCTCTCTACAGCAACAGTGGCAAATTCCCCAAATTCTAACAAGAGCAGGAAACGACCTCGGCAATGACAGAGCAGAAGCAGTAAGTTTGTAGTTTCCACTTTATGGCAGTTTCATATTATTATGCAGAATGGATGATAGTGATTCAAGAAAGCTTTCCTATGAAACTCAAGATTTTAGTTCTACTGTTGGTCTTGTTGATGTAAGTGAAGACATAATTGAGTTATAAATTAACTAAATTAAACTAGGATATTCCAGTGTCCCTTGATGTCCCTTCATTACCTAGTAAGTTAAACCAATTGGTTGGACTGTTCCAAAGGCTATATATAATTATAGTCAATACCATATACATGTAGCAAGTAATTTTGGTGTTTTGATATAGGCATTCACAAAAATAATACCATTTTCTGCATGCTCAATGTAAATTTTCTGAATTAAATTTTAGCAATTTGCCAAAATTTTCCCCCTCCAAAATTTGGCAGCTATATATCACCATAATTTGTCCATCAGAGTCAGCTCCACAAGGATAATTCTCTCCTAAACTATCATGTACTATGTCCCAACTGAGTTTGAACCAAGAAAAACTGGAATAACTTTTCATAGGAATGTGGGATAAGAATGAGACTTTCACAGGTTCTTAGTCGCCCAATGCCGCTTCAGGATCTCAGGTCTTGGGTCTCTCAGCCCTTGGGAACCCTGAGAACTGGGTTCTCCCTATAAACCCAATGGCATACCAAAGCTAACCGCAATTACGATCTATGATGTCATAGTTTACATAAGCACATGTGGTCGAGCGCCCAAACTGATAATTCTTCCTTTAAAAGGCTAATAGAGCAAGATCTTCTGATAATGATGGCCTTTATGAAGACTAGTTGACTCCAGCAGCTATTGTACTGCTTAACAGGAAGAACAAGACTGTTTTAAGAGTGAAACAACACAGCCGAAATAGCGGCCATGTCTCTATGAATATCATTATTTACGTCATTAGTGAC